GAACACCCAACGTGTGGAACACATACTACACCAGCTTACTTATGCAGATGCCCAACATCATGCCAAACCAGGGGCCTACCTCCCTGCTGTGGTCTACTCTGTGGGTCACAGGAGGGAGAAGACTGGGGCAGATGACCTCGGAGAAGGATGGGGTTTATGAAAATTTCTGTGGAATGGCAGAATTCTTGCCCCTGAAGTCACAGAACAGCTATGTTGATGCCAGTGAGCTGGGGGAGGGGTTCTCTGAAGCTCTCTTACCTCGATTGTGTTGCAAGAGCACAATAGTAGGATTGACGATTGTCGTAGAGGGGTAGGCAGATGATGGTTTGCTAACTGGTGCAGAGATTTGGGAATCCGTTCCAGCATGGGATGAAGAAACTTCATTCAGTAGAGGGCCTGAATCCTGAAAAGAAAACAAACACTGTAACCAACTGTAAGTACATGAAACCTAATGTTGATGCTTTTTAAAAAGCAGAAATTTAAAGCTTTACAAGTCCTTAATTACAGAAAGAAATGTAATCAATGAGACATCACTAATTCCAGTTAGAAGTATAAGCTGGAATGCTTAGTCTCTTTGTTGGTGTTAGTAAGGGTAGTAAGGGTAGTAAGGGGAAGGTGAGTGTTACTGGAATTCTCAGCCACATCATTCATTATTTTCACCTGGTAATAACTGTGGATCAATCCGGTTACTGAAAAAGGAAATTCAAAACAAAGTAGAACAACATGCAAGACTCATGCAATTCCAAATGTGATCCGAGAACAAGAGCTGGTTTAAGGGAAAAATCAGGAAAGTTTAGTACACTTGTCTAAAGAAACATGAGACAATGCGAGCACAAGGAGCCATCGATGTAAGAATGCGGAGGAGTTAAGTATTGGTACTCCTAGAAAGCTACTCTTACTATTTGTATCACTCAACAACTTCACTAGCATTTGTTTCTGAGATTTGGATATTTTCCAGTCCTATCCTGACATTGTTTTTCACTGCAGTTATTGAGTGACAGAGATCTCTGAAGTCGTAAAGACTTATGAAAATCTTGACTTCAAAAACCTGAGGTCTAAAAACCAATAAAACCATTACTACTAACGTTATAATTTGCATGATGGGAATAATGCCAGTCTTTCTTAAAGACAGGAAAATAAGACCTCGAAATGCAGTAAGGATATGTAGGCAGTTTCCTCTATCACATCTATAAATCTTGCCAAGTTTCTATTTTGGAATTTGCAGACCTCTAGCCAAAACGTCATTCTTAAAAGGGTTCGAAAAACAAGACTTTGATCGTTACTCTCCAGATGAAAGTATGGCTCAAAGCAATTAGTATGCTCCAGAGATCAGCTTCTCTGTAAGTGCCCATAGGACAAAAGCCATGCCTCCCTTCCTCTTTTTTGCCCCACCCACCCTGCACCTAGCACAACACCCTGCAGACAGTAGGTGCTCAGTAAATGCCACCTGAATGACTGGAGCCATCCATTAGCAAAGGTGTTTCTGAACAACTTCTGCAGCAAGAGAACATGTGAGCATCAAGAGAGAGTGTGTCAGGACCAGGGACAGCTCCTGACACACAGTAGGGGCTTCCTGGACCACACTGGCTTGGTCATTCCAAATCTTCGGAAAGTACCCTGACGTTGCAGCTGTTAGTTATGAGCAACAGCTCAGTGTAGTGAATAAAATCTTTCCAAGACTCGAGAGGCACAATATGATCTTGTTCAAAAGTGCTTCATCTCCATTTTTTTTCATTTGTAAAATAGAAAAAAATTACTCTGCTCTTAATTTGCTTCCTAAATGATTTAATAAAGATAAATGACACACTCATGAAAATTCAGCCATACTGCACCCAAGAAACACACCAAAAAAATCATGCATATGGCTCTTTAAAGTATAAATGCCTACTGTGGTGTCTGGATGGATCACGTGAACATTAAGTATTACACAAATATTCTGTGCCATGAGGCTTATTTCTGGAACATCACAAAAACGGCTATTGACTAAAAGAATGTGGATCAATTAACATGAATTTTCTTCTTCCCTCTTACTCTTAAATAGCTGCAGAAACCGAGCAAATATCAACCTGTGGCTTGGCCACCATCCCTAGGGGCGCCTGTTCTTCTCAACAATTCTCATTCAGTGGAGGATCCCAAGCGGTTTCCTTTTTCACCTGTTACCCGGGGCCAAACCAGAAGTTCTCAGGCCAACTGAAGTCTCCCCTGCAAGTCTTTATCAGGCTGATCAGTCAGGTTTGAGAAATCGAGGAAACTGTCCTAACTAATCTGTCCTGGCATACCTGAAACAAAATTCAGTACGAAAATCTAGATCTACAAAGGTGATAAATTTGAGAGTATACAACAAAACTACTCACAATTGTATATACCAGGACACTAAAAATATCTCACTTTATATGCTGCTCAAGAGAAATATTCTGTGCCGGGGGGAAGAATATCGATACCACCTATAACAAGAGCAGGTTCTCAATTCACCTGTAAGCTGCACTGGGGTGAGGGGAGTGCATTAGGAACAGTCTAGCAGTTTCCTCCAACAGGTTTGAGTTGCAAAGCTCAAAGCTAGAAGGACATCTAAAGCCCCTGGGCCATGTTCAGTTGAGTCCTGACCTAACTGCACTGTGTTGCATCTAGAGATCTGAGAAGAAGTCCTAGATCAGGATGAAGCCATTCCCAGCTTTGGGGTGCCTGATATCTGGCTATAAATTCTCCTATAAGCCAAAAAGTTCTGCTTCCACATGACTGGCTTCAGTCACGTAGACTGAAGCCACAGGGCTTCAACGAGCCACAGGGATGTTACTCAACATTTACCTTCATCAGCCAATTACAGGACCCACTGTGGTCCGAGGACCCTCAGCAACAGAACCCCTGGGATGTGCCTGATCAAATCAGAGCCCTAGGCCCCTCTGCAGACCTATTCCAGGACTCTAGGAGTATAATCTAGAATTGACAATTTAAACCAGCTTCCTTGCCTCTTAGATAATCTAAATCTCATGTGTGCTAAGCTTGAGAACCAATATGCTATCCACAAAAAAACCCTTTGAAAGCAAGGGCTGCACGCTGTTCATAGTTGTACCTATGGAATCTAGCAGGATGCCTAGAACACGGCAGGAACTCATTAACTGTTAACTAATTAGCCACTAGCTTACTTTTAAGAACTCTGGCCCCCACTTGCTAGGGCAAGTCCTCGGCAACATAGCTGACAGTTGAGTGCTCTCTCCATGGGAAGCACTATAACAGAAGTTTAACATACTTGGTCCTACTGTACCCCACAGGCCTGTGAGTAGATCCATGCATCCCCATCTCACAATTCACTCTGAGGTTCTCACAGATTCTCTTGATTCCCAGAGCTCCTGAAGAGAGAAAAGACTGGGTACCCTGATTCAGCTTTTCCACTTGGGCTTTCCTACCTACAAAGGGGACTCGTCCCTCACAGGATGGGGCCTAAGGTATCGGGCCTCTTTACCTTCGCACGACTCCTGGAGCAACGTTGTGTCACAAAGGCCCCTGGGAGCCTCCAGTCAGGGGCCCCAGCAATTATACGCCTTTGGAGAAAACAGTCCCAACATTTGTGCAAGGCTTTTAGATCCATTTGCTCCATTACACTCCATTCTCTCTCTCTTTTTTAACCATTCTCTGCCATCGCTGCATATAAAAGAGTTTGTTTACTTGCTAAATCAACAAAAGCCCTGGAGGCTCACTGTTCCCTGGTGGGGAACCTGCCGGCCATCGGCTTTCCCACATGGCTACTCAGCCCTCCAACACCACATCTGCTTGGCCTCTCAAGAGCATCGTGAGCCAAAGGAGAAGCCACAGAGGTTCTCTGAGGGAAACGGAGTTCTTTCAGGAAGATGTGCATTCCGAATAAGACAGACAGGAAGAGGGACGTGAAGGGTCTGTGAGCAGCTGCAGGAGAACCATGAACACGCACGGGAGGCATGCACTCCGGGGAAAGCAAACAGTCACCACACAAGCACAGTGGCGGTGGACACTTCCCTCAGGACTTAGCACTTCAGTGAGAAAGGGGTTTTTCGCTGCCAGGAGCAGACATTCAGGAAGGCTTCGAGGAGGGGGTTCCAGCAAGCTTACGGTACTTGAAACAGCTCCCGTGAGGTCAGGCTCCGAGGCTCTGCGGAGGTCCTCCGGTACCGGAGGGACCAGCGGAGGAGGTGGTGAGAAGGATGGCGGGGTCTGGCTAACGGGGGGGTGGGGGCCAGAAGCGCTGGCCGGCTGGCTGTGGTGGCGGGGTCGCCTCTGCAGACGAGGGGGAATGAAATCATCTAGGGTCGGGAAGGTCAGAGGTGAGCCGGCAGGGGCGGTCGCCAGGCTTGGGGGGCCAAGAGGCCCCAGAGATGCTGGAGTTCTGGCCGTGCCTTCTTGCCCTCTGTCAGTATTAACCAGGTAGAGAGGGACAACTATTATCTCAGGCTGGGCTGAACTGGAGAGAGTGGCATCCTGTAGGAAATAAGGGGGTCGTTACGTAAAGGGGCACGGCAGGGAAGAAGGAATTCCATATTTCAACAGTTGAGACTGGACATGCAGTGATGTACTCTGAGAAATATTTAATCGGTGCCCGTCTCCAGAGTACATGAGACCGTCCGTGCTAGCCAGCTGGCCTCCTGACACTCCGTGACACAGAGGGCACCCCATCCAAGTTTACTCTCCATCCTTCTATTTTTGAATCCTTTTAACACTTGAGAGAGAGAGAGAGACAGAGACAGAGACAGAGAACAACAGAACAGGCAGGCAGGCTGTGTTTAGCCCCCAAACTGCTTGCAGAGCCCGAAAGCTTGGGAGTCAATACAATTTCTTTGGCACCTTGTGAAAAGATATAAACATTCCATAACTCACCATGTTGTTAGTCTATGGATCCCACACTCCAGCATACTTACATATTACCAGAAAAGAGAGAGGGGGACAGAGAGGACTGTGCCGAGGTGTTTAGAGAGAAGAATTCGGGATTCAAGCCGCAGTGGTGTAGACAAGGAAAGGGAGGGGAGGGCAGCCCAGAAAACAAGGGAGCTGCTTTGCAGGAGTTTCGAAAGAGATGGTGTAGAAGACACACACACGTCTAATTCCTTGCCTTGGCTGGATAACACGGCTGCAAAAGGTAAGGTTCTTTTCTCTTCCGGTTTTCGGGAGCAGAGGAAAGCTGGGGGCCTAGCACAGGTGGTCTCACCGCGTCCGGGAACGGAGGCCGAGTGCACAGGGAAGGACTCTCGCCCCGGATGGTGGCATCTTTACGGATGTCAAAGAATAGCTTGGGAGGGCCAGGAGGAGCAGAGTGTGGCTTTCCCGTGCCAGCCGCGTGGGAGACAAGGCTGGGAGCCTGTGCGCGAGCGCCTGCAGCTTCCAAGGGAGTGCCCGTGGCTGGGTCAGGTGCAACACAAGAGGAGCTTTGCGCTGCCACCCGGCAAATGTTATTGGATAAACAAGGTACATATAAGCTGCTGACCTTTTTATTCCCAACTGCCTTATGACGTGGGTTAGAGCTCACATTCTCACTGTAAACCGTCCTGGTGGCCACACAGTGGTGCCGGGGTTGGGAGGAAGCACTGGGGAACGTGGAACCAGGAAGCAAGGGCCCAGGACGCACCACGCCTTTGGCAGCGGATCTGGCTGCCAGGGAGATGGAGACGGGCTGGGGTCGTGAGGGGCTCTGTTGGCTGGGGGTGCTGAGGGGGACGTAAGGCTTGGGTGAGCTCAGGTAGAGGGAGTCCTTGGAGGTACTGTGGATGGTGGGGGGCTGCCATGCAAAGCGGTCCCCTTTAGGGAGAGGAGGCCGAGGGGGAGAGAGAACCTTCAGCATGATTTTCAAGAGAAAGTATCAAAATGGGGAACAAAGAAAGAAAGAGGATGGGAAATGGAAAGAAGGATGACCATTAGAAATAGCATAACGTGATCTGAAGAAAAACAATTCTTGACATGTCTTTAAGCAAACCCTGAGCTTAGAGTCCTCAGGATCCCTACATTTCTCCTCCGGGTAAAGTCAAGGACTAAATCATACTCACCTGGACAGGCAGGCCTGCTTCTCTTACATCTCAGCCCAGGAGCGGCCACGTGCTAAGCCACTTTGACAGCCATCCTTGGCTGACCGCATCCCTTGTTAGCCCTCCGGACTGAAGGGTGCCCGAGGGCTCACGGCCAGGGCAAGAGGCCCCAGAGCCCCCACACCTTTCCTCAAAGATCTTTCTCTCCATGCCCTTAGCTCTAAAAGTTTAAGTTCACTGAAACACTCGAATGTCTTTCATTCTCTTCCCTTAGGAAATAGGGAATTGGAAGAATCATCCTTATTTGTGTTCACAGGAGACAGATGTCTTAATTGAATCACTGAGATTTAGTGCTCAATTCCATAAGCATAACCAATTAAGGCTCACCAAGAAGAGAATGCTCAGGATTTAGAATCCACATGTGCTCTTTTCTCAGAGGAAACAATCTGATGGAACTAATTATTAGAAGGAAGACAGGCATGAGATTAAAAGCATGTAGTCTCCCATTTTTGATGCACACAGAACAAAGGGACCAGGCAATGAAGCACTTGATTTGCCTAATGAGTTAGACTGTGCCTGGTTCCTCAAATTCCAGCCCCTTCCCCACTCCCATCCAGCCCACCACCGGGCACAGACAATCCCACAGTGGGTGCCCAGCCTCACACTCCTGGCTTAAGCCCAAAGCTTTGGTTCCAGGCTGAGAGGAAGGTATAGGTCACATCTCATTCCCTTTCCCTCAATACAGCTCCTAGCTCCTCCTTGGGTCTCAGTGGGGCAGAGGAAATGGAGTAAATCTCCAGAATGACCCTCATGTCAATGAGAACCATCTGGCAATCAGTGGAAATTAGACCATAAAACGAGGAAAGTTTACTTTCCTTGTGTTATGGATTAAATGTGTATGTCCCCCAAAGTTCATATAATGAACCCATAGCCCCAAGTGATGGTGTTTGGAAGTGGAGTAAGTAGGAGAGGAGATGGGGTTATGAAGGTGGGGTCCCCATGATGGCATCAGTGTCCTTATAAAAAGAGACTAGAGGGGCACCTGGGTGGCGCAGTCGGTTAAGCGTCCGACTTCAGCCAGGTCACGATCTCGCGGTCCGTGAGTTCGAGCCCCGCGTCAGGCTCTGGGCTGATGGCTCAGAGCCTGGAGCCTGTTTCCGATTCTGTGTCTCCCCCTCTCTCTCTGCCCCTCCCCCGTTCATGCTCTGTCTCTCTCTGTCCCAAAAAATAAATAAACGTTGAAAAAAAAAAAAAAAAAGAGAGACTAGAGTTCACTCTTGCCCCACCAGGTTAGGACACAGCGAGAAGGTGGCTGTCTATGTGCGAGGAAGAGAGCCCTAACTAGGAACCACATCAGCTGGCACCTTGGTTTTGGACTTCCCAGCCTCAAGATCTGTGAGAAATAAATATCTGTTGTCTAAGACACCTGATTATGGGATTTTGTTACAGCAGCCTAAGCTAAGACACCTAGATTTTCCTCACGGGTTCCTATCTTCAAAGACAGTCCAGTACTAGAAAGCCGGAACATCATCTAAATTGCACCGGTGAAGTATAGTAAGTTTGGTCAATACTTAGCAAATGGGTTATGACCAAAAGCCGGGAGAGAGAGTGCAAGGGTGTGGGTCTATCTGGGGGTTGTTTTTTATTTTTTGTGGAGTGCAGGTAGCAAGGGGAAGGGATACTAACAAGGGTGACTAGGTAAGAAATCAAGTTTTTTGAGTCTGGATTGGAAGATCAACCCCAGAAACAGTAAGCAACTCATAACAAACTCAGTTTTCAAGCTACAGATAACCTGGATTGAGGAGAAACAATTTGGATATCCTAGGTTAACTTGATGCCTATCCTTTCCACAGGGTGCCCAAGACAGTGCCAGTGGAATGAGGCCATGTGGACCAGTCAAAAATACAAAACGAATGACCCCTCTTCAGTAGTTAGCAGGAGTAAAACCCTCCAGTTGGGACATACTTGGTTCCAGTGAACTTACACCGGAGGTTGGGGAGGTTGGGGCATGTTTCAAACCGAACAATGCTCTTTACAAATAAAGCACTTGAACCATCACACACCAAAGGGACTGGGGGTGAGTGGAGCGGTGGTTGTCAGGGAGAGAAGCAAAAGCCAATTTTGACTTCAGCTCAGAGTTACTTTTACTTTGAGCTCCAGTGTCCCACATGTGATTCTTCTTGTCCAAAGATAGAAGTAGGTTTCAGTGAGTTTTTAACTTAATCTGCTTTTGGCCATATAAGGTGCCAGGGCTGCATGACATCAGGCACAAGGCTTCCCAGGGCTTTGACCCTGTAGAGAAGATGCCTCCCCAGAGTGTTGACAGTTCACCCTGAGCCAAAGGCCTTCCTGTCCCAAAGAAGGAGGGAGATAGGCATCGTCATTTTACATGGAAGGAACTACTTTCTGATTTATTGTAAACACTGTACGAACTACAGAGGGAGCTTCCATTCCTGCCTAGCTGGCTACTAATGAAATTCCCTTCATCCCTGTAGAAGGTGGGGGCAGTGAAGAAATGGAGCTGCTTGAAGAATCAGATATGTTCCTAGCATATGCAGTTCCAGAAACTGCCCATTTCCGCCTCCACTGAAGACCACCGTGATGATGCTGTCAGAGGGAGGGGAGCCTGGGTTCCTCGTTACGAGAGGTGAGGAGAGCAACAGGTCCAGGACAGCAGAAAGAAAGGCAGCATCTGGGAGCACCAGAAAACAGGATTCCCCTCTGGCCCTGGGGTCTCCCGGACCCCAACTCATTCCTTATAAGGAGATGCCAGGCCTGTGGGGCTCTAAGAGCTGTCTTCATCTGAAACTAAGCCGGGGCAGTCCCCAGCCCAGCCCAACTTGGTTCTGTCTAAGCCAGCATAGTACTTACAGGTCTGGCAATGGCTCTATGGACAAGAAGTCATTCTTGCATTCAGAAAACAAATCCAAGAAATAATGTATGACCTAAAGGTTCTTGAAAGTTGGGTGGCCAAATGTACACTGAATATACAGAACAAAACCTCTGTATCAGCAATTTGCCAGGTTCTCTTTAAGACACCCCAGTTAAAAAAAAAAATTCTTGGAGAGTGACAAATAAGAAAATATGCTATCTGTAGGCGATATGATAGGAAATTCACCATTATGATAAATTTCACCCTTATAAACTCCTTGAGGGCAATGTTTAACATCTTGATCTGAACACAGTGAATGCTCAGTAAAGCTGTAGTAAATAAATGTATTTAAGAGGAATTTTTATTTACTTCACGTTCTCAAAATTATCTCTTCAGAAGAGCTAAGAAGCCAAAGGAAGGAGAGAGTTAGCCTCTGAACTACGTCACTGATAGGGGAGGAAGATGTGCTTCCACATTTGCCTTGAATTAATCAGCACCATCTAACTCAGACAGAGCCAGCTCTATTCACGCCTGAGACTGCAGAGACAGAAGCCTGTCTCTGAGAGACAGGCAGCGCACTCACACACTGGGGAAGGTCTCGGAAATGGAACATCGATGGCAAGTCATTTGCTGGACAGCTGTGTCCTATAAGGGCATCATGAGGCACACCTGCAGCTCGGGTTCTAGCCAGTGGCCTTGCGTGCACGTGGCTGTGCCTACGGGAGGCGAGCATGGCGGGAAGGTTCAGCGGGGCTGCTCAGCGACACCTCTGAGCCCGGAAAGCCAGGGTCTGCAGAGAGGAAGGAAGACGTCCTCTCTGACTTGGTTCCATTTCAGGGGCCAGTGCAACTTTATGCCCTCAGGAGCAAGAGGATCATCAGACAAGTGGGGTGGGATCCGGGGCGGCATTTGGAATGCCCAGGCTCCTGGTGAATTCTGGGAGCACCTTCGCGCAAGGCAGGCCCAGGGACGGGGACCACATGAGGAACATATTCCCACCACATTTTTTGGAGCAGTACAGTGTCCTTTAAGAGAAAGGATGGCTCCATCCCACGGATGTTACTCCTCTGTAAAAAACACTCTTCACTAAACTAAACTAAAACAGGATCTATTCTTTCATCAAAATGGCAGAGTAGTGACAGGGAGAGGAAGGAAGAAAGATCAGGAAAACAACTTAGGGGAAAGACTTAAGGCGAAATGATCCCTTCTCCAAGTTGTGCGGGGCCTGGGGCGGGGGTTGGTGTGTTCTTTAGCAGATCAGCACGAGGCAGTTGAGGCTGTGCTGTTCCGGCCATTCAGACGTCCGTCTGCCTGCTCTGGGCCACTGGGTTTGGGGCTGGCCACAGCTACCCAATCGTGATCTGTAAGCCTAGAGTTGCTGGAACTCTTACAGCAAATAAATGCAATAAACACAAGAGCGTACTCTTTGATTACAGAGTTTTTAACCCACCAGGCTCAGACTCTTCCCCCCCTTACTCAGGGCTAAATGCATTCCCTCTTTCAGAACATTTCCACATACATTTCAAACCTAGAAACACTGGGCTCACACTTCCTATCCCCTGGTATAGATCATCCTCATCCTCTGCTGTCCTTGAGCCCCAACTTCTCTCTATCTCCGGTCCTTGCAGAACTTTTCCACAGTTAGCCGAAAGTGTGGCTCAGATCCCAGTCCGTTATTCAGCTGGGCAAGCAGGAAGTCATGAGCGCAGGCTAAAAGACTCAAGAACAGGTGCCACTCACCAGTCCCCACCCCACCCGTGGGCACAGGCCTACCTGGGGCTTGTCGGAAGAAAGGTTGGGATGCACACTTCTGTAGCCCTTGGCAGCAAGTGAGGAGGGCTGGGCGTTTCCATTGGCATCAGCATTGGAAGAGAGCCTCCACTCATCTGAGAGATGGGGGGAAGAAAAGAAAGAAACCCCTCACTCACAGGGAACACTCCCCGGTTCCCCTCTCATAGAAGTCCCTGGTGGAAGGCAGGGGCAGAAAGAATGCAAGAGACACCATACCTGCTGAGGGATTCTCTGAGTCCAGAACTACGTGTGGTGCAGAAAGGATGAAAACAAGAGAAAGGGGCAAACAGAAATGGTTACACTCGCAGGAAACAAGCATGTACTGCAGAGAAAGAGGAAAACCCAGCACCCCGTGGCCTGACACAAAATGCCCTCAGTCACGATGGCCTAATTACCATAGGAACCCACTCTAAACCATGATGTGCTCACAGGCGCTGACCTTTGAAAACACAAGGCTCACATTCACAGTAATGAAGAAACAATTGTTCCTTGACATTCTTATTTTACAGACAAAAAGGCAACAGAACTCTCCCCTGCCCTGTCCCTAGTAACTCCCATTCCCCTTCTCCATCCCTGATGTGGGCTCTGAATGACCTCTCCTCATTAGCAGGCTGGGCTTAATTAACTGACTCCGGAGAGGGAGAAGTAGATAAGCACTTTTTCTGTGGCGACTGGCAGCGGGGCTAGGGGGAAAGCATGATTTAAGCCCAGAGGTATCTGCTGTGATAAGGACTTTTTTTTCCCTCCTCTGCCTGCTTTCCTTCTTTCCATTTCAATGAGCCACGTAAACATTTCAAAATCTAATCACCCTGCGTTTTCATCACGTGACAAGCCACCCATGGCCCCTTGTGGCTGGCTACCACCCTGACCTCAACTCAAATCCTGGTTCCACCACCGATGGATGGGCTCTGTGACCCTGAGCAAGTTCTAAGCCTATTTTCCCATCTGAAAAGTGGGGATAATGCTATGCTTGCTTCCTAAGTGTTGCTATAAGGATTAAATGACATAATGCAGGAGAAATGCTTAGCACAGTGCCTGCCAGGGCTCAGTAAATGTTTGCTAGCTATCATCATCACCTTCCGCATCACCTCGTCTCTATGCTCTGCCCTCCACCTAGCCCGGAGGTCAGCAACCTTTTTCTATCAAGGGCCAGACAGTAAATATTTTAGGGATTGCGGGCCATATGGTCTCAGTCGCAGCTATTCAACCCTGCTATCCTAGCACAAAAGTGGCCACAGATAACATGTACATGAATGAGTGTGGATGTATTCCAAAGAACTTTTATTTGTGGACACTGAAATTCGAATTTCATAGAATTTTCACATGCATATAATACTATTCCTCTTGTGCTTTCCTTTGAACCATTTTCCCATTGTACTATTTTTTGTACAAAAATAGGCATGGACCAGATGTGGCCTGCAGGCCATAGTGTGCCAACCCCCTGAACTAGCCAAACCCTAACTTCCTTCTTCATGTCCTGTCTACTTTTTTTTTTTTAATAACTTTTAAAAATTTATTTTTTGAGAGAGACAGCATGAGCGGGGGAGGGGCAGGGAAGGAGATACAGAATCTGAAGCAGGCTCCAGGCTCCGAGCTGTCGGCACAGAGCCCGACGCAGGGCTTGAGCCCACGAGCTGTGAGATCATGACCTGAGCCAAAGTCGGATGCTCAACCCACTGAGCCACCCAGGCGCCCCGTGTCCTGCCTACTCTTATCTTACCCTCTAGGGGTATAAAGAGGGACTAATACAGCAGCTGTCACA